CTGCTATATTTGCTTCCAAGACTACTAATCCCACTTTACTCGCCTCCAAGATCTTAGATATGATTTCATATTTTTAGTGCCCTCTCTTGAAAATTTATGTTCAACAATAATTAGTATATAATCATGTATCTACATCTCCGTATCGCTGAATATTCTTGAAATCATTCTTACAGCATTTATCAAAAATTTTTATTTTCTTTTGGTTATTTTGTCATCATTGGTGCAAAACATCCATAACAAAATATTATTATTTTTTTCCTTTTGAGATTCAGCTTCTCTGTTAGAAGTTGCACAGAATAATTCCATGGATGAGAGCCCAAACCATTCTTGCATACTGCACAGCCAGAAATATCTATTTTACCTTGCATTCCCTCAAGTTGTAGTATTGTTCTGAAGCTATTTTCTTGTGGCATTTTAAAGTAATTACTATTTAAATGGGAATAAGCCACAATTAAAAGTTAAAATACGTTTATTGACGTTTCAATTTTCACTTCGGAAATCGTTCTCAAAATACAAACATTAGTAAATTAAACAATTTTTTTTGCACTGGAAATTGAAACGTCAATAAACGTATTTTTAACCTTTAATTGTGGTTTATTCCTAAATTGTAGTATCTTACAATATGTAATGATTACATAAATTATACCCACAGTATTATCTCTGGAATATTTACTATTTCCACAAATATATCTCTTGTTTTATGGCTCTAAGTGAAATTGTGTTTAACATTGACCAGCTTAGACACAATAACATAAAAATATTAATAGAACTCTTGCTTGGCATATAGGTTTGGTATATGAATAAATATTAATGATGCAAGTGATCGAAAAAATCGCAATTGGAGTAAGCTGTGAAATAAAACTTTGGTCGATTGTAGGTTAACTTAAGTAATCCTGTAGGATGAATACTAACAAGTATTCAAACCATGGACCTATAATATAAGATATACTGATCCTTGCAATGCCAGCCAGTTCCCCAGGTGCGACAGAGAAAACTGATATCCTGCATCTCTTTCTAATGGGTCGGGTTGATTGACCACGTCACGGTCTCTGGTCACTTACTTCACGTGGTCGATAAACTTGGCAAATTAGAAAGAGGTGCAGATACTGATTTATATCAGTTTTCTTTGTCGCACTGGGGGTACGCCACTATAAAACAGCAGTATATCACTACATTTTAAACATCTCTATTTGTAGTATATGTCTATGATTGAAACACGTATATACCATAACCTAAATTATTGTTGACAATTTTCTGCTTTATATAAAATAGAAGCCCAACTACTCGTTACATAAGCCGTTTTAATATACGTTTAAACCCTTTTTTCGATATCAGGTAGCAAATCCTTCTTTCAGAGAAAGTGCATCAATCCTTACCTCCGCAGAGTCCAGATATTTCCTGACCTACGAAATTAGTACCTGTTAAGGGTCCTTTGTTCAGGATGAAGTCCACAAGAGCATCTTTGGCGAAAAAGAAAGTCTTTACAATGGTTTGCATGGTTAAAGTGGCAGCCTCCTAGTTTGAGGGCTTGTATACAATTAAAACTGGAAATCGGGAGCTGGGTTTTTAGTGTTTGTATTGAACTGAAGTCATGTAGACTAGAACGATTACTACATAACAGTACCCAGTGCGGTGGCAACTACCTAAATAGCGTGTACACAGCGGTGTAGAAAATCAAAGGAATGACTACTACACTATTTTTACCCGGATTATCATTAGGGCTAAGAACTTAATGATGACCTTAAGTACGAACGCCGCTTAAACAAGGCAGAGGTGCAAAAAATCTTTCAGTGGATCAAATTTATTTTTAAAATGAGTTATACAATGGGCACATGGAATATGCCGAGTTTATATAAACTCGAAAAAATACCTAATGTACTAAAAGAGATGAGAAGAATGTATATATCAATTTTGGGTACAAGCGCAATAAGGTGGCCTGGATCTGGCCAATACAATGCGGATGATCATAAAGCATATTATTGGGGGGAACAACTATTATCTTTATGGTGTAGGACTTATAATCTCTAAGGGAGGTTAGCAAATGTGTTAGCTCTATATTTCAGGTATCTCAACAAGTTATATTGATTTAGTTGAACGCAAAAATTAGAAACATAAATTTTTATACCAGTGTATGCACCAACAGCGGAAAGTGAACTAGAATTACTTTAAAAAATTCTATGCAGATATTATAATATATTACTAACCCAACCAAGACGAGAGATCTCACCATTCTGATAAATGAACTTAATGCTAAAATAGAAAAAGGCAGACATAGTAACATTGTAGATATAGGACTGGGTAATAAATAGTCCAGGCTGTGAGCCGCTCCCGTGAGAACATGTTTCTGATTCGGTTTTCTTCGCGGATTCCGGTTCAAAAATGTCCCCTTTAAACAAATCTGAAGGGTGCCGGGCGAAATTTTTGGACAGAAATTGTTTAAACAATTTTTTTAAACAAAGTCCAAAAATAATTTTTTTTTAATCTAAAAAATATTTTTTTAGGTTTTTTGGGCCATTTTAAACAAAAAAAGTCTCCTATCATTTTTCTCTAAAGTTAATAGTTTTCGAGTTATAAGCGATTTAAAGTCTGAAAAACGCGAAAATACGAATTTTTGAGGCTTGAAAACACATATGTAAATTATTATTTTTGAGGTTACCAAGTGTCTAAATTAAAGTTTAAACATTTAACTTCAAGATTGCGAAGAGTAATCGGGGCTTATTTTAATTTAGACCGTTGTTTTTTATTTGTTAAGTATGCACGTACACTCGATTTTTAAGCCACTGCGGCGCCGCGCGCTACCGTGCGCCTCCATCGTACTTATGCATAGTATACATATATACTTACAAATAATTATTATTTATTGAGTATATATTTTATTTATATCAATTGAGTTATAATATAAATTTCGTCTAAAGTCTAATAATAGTTACATAAAATAATTGTACAAAAGATTGTTAAATAACACTATTATCACTCAGTAAAAGTATCTCTGTTTTCACAAAAATATAAATCACATCCACATAATGGTAACAGTTGACATGATTTTTCTTGTCGTTGCATTAGTTTTGCAAGTCTTTTTGTATTTGCACGGTTTCCCAACCCACCACTATCAGACATATAATATCCATATTGTGTAAAATCGAGAGTTTGATAGCGGGAATATATGGCATTTCGCCAAATATATGTTTTAGCGAAAGCTCTTAACAAGTGTTGGTAAAGTGCGTCAGAGGTACAAGGTATATTGGATAGATTAAATTAAATTTTTCAGTCACACTGTCTTTTCGTCGAAGAGCAGCATTTTGTATTGTTATGTAAAAATCTACTTTAGGTTTTTGGACTAACTTAATATTTGTTGATGTTATTACAAAAAATACAAACTAAATTTTCTTCGGTAAGTTTTCATTTAAGAAGAGGTACGGAAAAAAGACATTTTAAATCCATTCAAAATTTTTTTTAATAACACATTAATAATATAATACCCTTTTAATGGGCATTAAACAATAGTCTTCCTAATAATCGTTTAAGTAATAACAAATCAAGTATGAGCGCGCGATTGTTAAACAGGTAAAAACTTGCATTTTAGCGATAGTATATTTTTTTAAACACGCGCAATTTAAAATTAAGTTTACTAATATTAATATTTACTGCATTGTATTATTTAAACAATAATTTAAAAATATTATTTACAATTGAAATAAATAAATATATACTCAATTAATAATAATTATATTGTTCAAATTTGGAAGAAAAAAAACTATTTACGGTTATTACATTGCGATGATTGATTTATTTAATTAGCCCAATGACAAGAATTAATACCTACATAAATAAATTATGGAAAATATTAACATAGTTCAACCTCAGGGATTTGTTCGGGTTTTTTTGCGTAAGTGTTTATGTAAACTAATGCATAAGTATTACGCATAAGTAAGCCCCCGATTACTCTTCACAATCTTGAAGTTGAATGTTTAAACTTCAATTTAGACACTTGGTAACCTCAAAAATAATAATTTACATATGTGTTTTCAAGCCTCAAAATTCGTATTTTGCGTTTTTCAGACTTTAAATGGCTTATAACTCGAAAACTATCAATTTTAGAGAAAAATGACAACAGACTTTTTTTGTTTAAAATGACCCAAAAAACCTAAAAAAATGTTTTCCAGAAAAAAATTTTTGGAATTTGTTTGAAAAAAATTGTTTAAACAATTTCTGCCCAAAAATTTTCGCTCGGCACCCTTCAGATTTGTTTAAAGGGGCAATTTTTGAACCGGAATCCGCGAAGAAACCGAATCAGAAACATTTTCGCCTACGGGAGCAGCCTCACTAGCCTGGACTATAATAGAAATACAATAAAGGATATTTCTTAGATTTTTCAAACCACCGAAACGAAGATTATATACGTGGAAATCTCCAGCAGATATCCTTCGTAATCTAGTAAGAAATCAAATTGACTACATAATTATCCTAAATACAGTAAAATCTATAAAAATTTTAGGTTACATAAATAATTAACTGAGTTGTACATTAGAATTTTATTATTTACAATAAAAAAAGTAACAACTCATATAAAGTTGTTTGATTACGATAGAATCTACAACTGAGGTACACCTGTACCTTTTTAGTAATTTATGTAACTAGGAAATATCATCCAAGTTTTTTGCAACTTGAAAATATCTAAAAATGTTTGTTCATTTATTGTATTTTCTTTAATTTTATTTTGGGTCCTTCTAGGAAATCAGTAACCTGATTTTTTTGTAAAGGTCAAATAAAAAATTTAAACAACATATGAATCCCAGTAATTTAAAGGTTAACTTACTTTCAATAAGCATAAGTTTTCATCTGTCCATACATTGTGTCGAAATTTAAGAGGGGTAGAGAGGACACGAATAAAAAGTCGCGATCAGGTACAGTGAGTACTACATCTACAGACAGGAATGTGGCCATTGTGAAAGGACTGATTAGAGACAATCATCAAATTTCAATTAGAGCAATTTCAGAAAATGTTAGTGTAAGTATAGGATCTGTCTATAGTATCGTACAGAAATTGAGTTACAGCAAAGTTAGTGAGCAATGTTCTCCAAGTTTGACGTCATCCTGGACCAAAAAAACTTGCTAATTAATTTATCTTTGTAACGTCTCAGGAAATAAAGTCAACACGGTAATGCCTTATTTTCGCCAATAATTGCTGGCGACGAATCTTGATGTCTATATTTTGAACCATCCAGTAAGCTGTCATCGATGCAGTGAAAACACACAAATGATCTAAGTATTTAATAACTTTAAAGTTCAACCTTCTGCAGGCAAAGAGATGTTAATATTTTTTTCTATCATGAAGAACCCCTGCACATAAAGTTTTCACAACCCAGACTAAACGTCAACTTAAATATGTATAATGAAGCGTTTAAACAAGCTTAATGAAACAATAAAACGACAAAATCCAGGGACTGGTCAGCTGGTGTCATTCTTCTGCATAGCACTGCTCGGCATCATGTTGTCAAAGAAGCAAAAAAAACCTACAAGAAAAAAAAGAAAGAATATTAAAGAAACCACCATATATTCCCGATTTATCACCTAGCGATTTTTATATCTCTGGGTCATCAAAAAAAGCGTTATAAAGGTAATTGTTTTCAATCAGACAAAAAAGTACACAATGCCGTAAAAGAATTTTTTTTGCAATAGTCACAAGAATTCTTTAAGCGTTGGTAAAATACATCGGTTAGTAAAACAATGGGATATGTTTCTAAATTGTAGTAATAATATTATTTGTAGATATATTTGTCAATAAATTTTTTCTGGTCCAAAGACAGCATTCAGTTGAACAAGCCTTGTTAGTTTACATCTTATAGTAATTTTAATCTACCGTAATTTTTTTAGATTTGCATCATTGGTTATTACTAAACAGCAAAAAGAATGTATTGTAAGTAAGGAACTAAGTCAAAAATATAATATGTAACTACTAACCTTCTTATTTAAGTTTTAGATCTTCTCGCATTATTAACAATATGCATCGTATCAAGTAAAGGTAAGTCAAAAGTTAAATCTAATGAAAATGATCTAGGACCATGACGGTCGAAACTTTAAATAAAATAGCTTTAATTTTACAATTGTAATTATTTTTTATTAAAAAAACTGTTGACAAAAATAACAGAGTATAATATAATTTTAAAGAAAATTTAGTCAAAAATAGACAAAAACAAATTCCATAATATTACTAGTGGCTATGTTACTTTTGTTGAATAATAAATAACAGGTTAGTTTAAAAAAAATTAAATATATTTGTTTTACAAGGTACACCATATCTTCAGTTCAAAACACCAGATCCTGACTGCATAAAAAATGGAACCAAGTACTATCCGGATCCATATAACTGTACACAATACTATGTATGTGATGTTCAAAACCAAAAGGTGCTAAAGGAGTGTACCCAAGGTAAATGGTGGAATGATTTAATACAAGCTTGTGATGTTATCCAAGATGGTGTTTGCTGTAAGTACCATTTTTATCTTACCATCTAATAGTATGGAGGCAGTGCATGTCACTAGGATCATCCTAGGTCCTGGAATGCATCATTATCAAAAGCAATACAACTCTTCGAGAGTCTGGCGCGTTTACTATTGCCTTTCATGTTTGTTGGTCTTATCACTATTTTCCATTTTTTCACTTTTATTTTATTCACATTCTATCTGACTGCATTATTTTACCTTTTTCTTGACCATTCTACAGATTTTCATTATTCCATTAGGCGACTGTCAATACTGTTTTTCACATATCAAGTCCATTCTTAGTCTATTAGCCTTGATATAATTACCTAGATTTCTATTTCTTAATATAGAGACTAACTCGTTGTTATGTCTGCGTCTTCTTTCGTTTGTCACACTATCTTTGCAAATGCTATATATTACTCGAAGGATCTTACATTCCCACTTCAGCAATTTATCTACTTTTTTTTGTTAGCGTCCATGGTTTCGCTTCCGTACGCAACTGCTGGTGGTGTAAGGTTTAGTATATCTGATTTTTTGCTCCTCACGAGAAAGGTTTAACCTCATCAGATTTTTTCTTTCCCTAGGAAACTAGAATTGCTGGTTCTGAAATAGTAAAATAAGAAAATATTATTTCTTACAATGTCCGGAAAAAACCGTAAAAACAAAAGTCTACATAATAGAAAACATAAAAAACAAGAACAAATTTAAATTCAATATAAAAGAAAAATCACTATAATATAATAATCACTATCAAAACATTATATATATTATATATATATATATATATATATATATATATATTTATCAAATTATTCTCGACCGTACTGTGTTAAATATTATTTGTAGTCTCAGCAATTGGTCTGTATGAAATAAAACTCTATTTGTTATTTCTCAATATTTCGTCACGATTTTGTGACTTCTTCAGGAGAAAACTGTAAATTTATTATAATTATTATATGTAAACAAAATGAATATTTCAATACTTACAACTTAAGATTAAAAATTTAAATTTTGATAACATATCCAATTTAAATAAATGACATTTTTTTTGATTTTAATTTATTTGGGAGTTATGGTAACCGCAATATTTTATAGAGTGAATTCCCATTGTACAATTTTTAGCGAATAAGTTTTAGTAAACAATTACATATTGTGACAGTATTATCCATATAATAAGGTGCAAAAGTAGAAGATTGAGAAAGAATCAGGAACATGGTAAATTGATCTATAAAATGTAATTGATGGTACGTAGTCAGTTATTGGTCTGATGTTATTAGATACTGATATTAAGATCTATCATATCATATATTGTTTAGTATATTACAGTAGATATTACTTAAATGGTTGGTGTCTGTTTTATAATTGATAGATTCTGGAGTTTTATTAATGTGTACCATTTCAAGGAAAAGTCGATTTTTATAATTATCAACTTGTTCCAAGATTTTTACATTATTAAAGTCAAAGTTATGTCCTGTCTTTAAGTGTGGATCATATAATATCCTCTCTTGTGCCTTAGTGGAACACCACTTAAAGACAGGACATAACTTTGACTTTAATAATGTAAGAATCTTGGAACAAGTTGATAATTATAAAAATCGACTTTTCCTTGAAATGGTACACATTAATAAAACTCCAGAATCTATCAATTATAAAACAGACACCAACCATTTAAGTAATATCTACTGTAATATACTAAACAATATATGATATGATAGATCTTAATATCAGTATCTAATAACATCAGACCAATAACTGACTACGTACCATCAATTACATTTTATAGATCAATTTACCATGTTCCTGATTCTTTCTCAATCTTCTACTTTTGCACCTTATTATATGGATAATACTGTCACAATATGTAATTGTTTACTAAAACTTATTCGCTAAAAATTGTACAATGGGAATTCACTCTATAAAATATTGCGGTTACCATAACTCCCAAATAAATTAAAATAAAAAAAATGTCATTTATTTAAATTGGATATGTTATTAAAATTTAAATTTTTAATCTTAAGTTGTAAGTATTGAAATATTCGTTTTGTTTACATATAATAATTATAATAAATTTACAGTTTTCTCCTGAAGAAGTCACAAAATCGTGACGAAATATTGAGAAATAACAAATAGAGTTTTATTTCATACAGACCAATTGCTGAGACTACAAATAATATATATAATATATATATAGTATATAATATATATATATACATATATATATATATACATATATATATATATATATATATATATATATATATATATATATATATATATAGTATATATATATTTTTTTTAGTGGATTCTCTTGGGCTTAGGTTCATAAAAAAAATTTAGTTTGATACTAAGACATTTTTATATATATTTTTCCGACGTTTCGGCAGGAAATCCATGCCTTTTTCAAGAATATATATTGACTAAAAAAAAACATTCTATGACAGACATAATATGGTTTAAAAAATAAACTTTTGACTTACCAAGCATGTAAAGATTTGGTGTTAACAATTAGACGTCACAATTAAAATAATTTTAAAACATAGGACATACCCACTAAGTCACTAAAAGTAAAATGTATTTTAAATCTAATGTGTTGTTTATTGATGTTAGCTTATCGTTTAAACAATCAGTTATTTTAACATCATAGGCGTTCTGAGATTGACTTATGTGTATTTAAATTAAGTTAAAATATATTTTGTTCAAATTTTTGACATCTTTTTTATCATTTATTGCGTTATTATTTTTTTTTTATTTGTATAGACTCTAGAAGCTCTCTCTTCTTCCTGTTGGCTTCACTTTTTAGGATCTTGGTTTGCTCAAAATCAAATTTATGTTTTTTTTTCGTTTTCATGTTTTGTGAGGGCGGTTGAGTTTTTTTTGTCATATTTGTGGGAACGTATTCTTGAATTAAGTAGTTGACTGGTTTGTCCAATATAAACTCCATCACAATTCGAGCAGGGAATTTCATATACAACATGTGATCTTTTTAATAGAGGGGTTTTTGTTTTCAATCTTGTAAAATTCCTTTTCAAAAGATTGTGACCTTTATGAGCAACCGTAATATTATGTTTAGAAAGAAGATTTGCTATTTGTTCTGATAACCCTTTTATATAGGGGAGAGACATATAGTTTTTCTTTACCGTGTTGGTTTTATTATTATTATTGTTATTGTAAAATTTATGGAGTCGCGATTTGAAAGTGTTGTCGATAAGGTGGTGTGGGTATGAATTAAGTGTAAGTGCTGTTTTTTGCTTTTTTAATGGCCTGAGGTCTATTGATAGGATCGGATAATCTAATAGCTCTATCAGCGAGTCCGATAACTACTGATTTCTTTTGAGACAGGGGATGATAAGAGTTGAAATTTAGATATCTCGACGACCAGGTTTTTTTGGTGTACCATGAAGTAGTTATAGTGCTATTTTCCCTATGCAAGGTCAGGTCCAGAAAATTAATTTGATTATTTTTTTCAATTTCTAATGTGAATTTTAGTTTTTGGTGAAAGTTATTGAATTCATTTAGTAAAATATCCATTTTATCCTCTGGTGCTGCACTCAAGCAGTCATCTATATAGCGATAGAAAAAAGGTATATCAAAATCTATTTTATTTAAAACAATTTCTTCTAGATGCTCTAAAACTAATTGAGCGATGGCACTGGATTTAGTTCAAGAACTAAACTCAAACTATATATATATATATATATATATATATATATATATATATATATATATATATATATATATTTATATATATATATATTATATATATATATATATATATATATATATGTATATATATATATATATATATATATATATATATATATATATATATAAGTAGATGAATTAAACATTTTAAACAACGGATCAAAACTAAAGTTACCGCGGAATTACACACCTAAATACAGTATACAAGATATTGTCAAACATTTTGCACAAGAGATTAAAGCCTTATACCGAAATGTTTCTAGGAGAATATCAGGCAGGATTCAGACGTGGACTTTCAAACAGTAACCAGATCTTTACACTACGACAGATCCTCAAAAAGGCGCAAGAGTTTAACATAGATATGTATCATATTTTTGTCGATTTTAAAGCGGCATATGACAGTGTCTTAAGACCAAGTCTTTACAACGCTATGAATAAGTTAGGAATTCCAAAATAACTTTTGTGTTTGACAAAAGTGACAATGGCGAAGATGCTAACAGCTGTAAAAATTTAAAATGACTCGTCAACACCATTTGAAATACATAGGGGGTTAAAGCAGGAAGATGCACTGGCGTGTCAGCTTTTTAATGTCGCCTTAGAAAAAGTTGTACGAGACGCTAATTTAGATAGCAGGGAAACAATATTTAATAGATCAGTCCAAATTCTAGCATATGCAGACGACGTGGACATTAGAACAAGAACCAGGGCGAGAACTGCGGAAATCCTAACAGAGCTAGTAGCAGCAGCAGAACGAATTGGGTTACATATAAATCAAAATAAAACCAAATTCATGGCGACTAACACAAACACAAGAGCTGGAAATATTGACACAAATTTAATCATCAATGACCAAAACTTCGAAGCAGTCAAGAGTTCATATATCTAGGGACATCTGTGTGAACGGAATATGGAGGCGTAGATATAACTTTGAACTGTACAATATCTACAAGCATACGTTTGGTGGTAAAGATATTACCACTATCAATTAAGCGAAACCGCTTGCAGTGAGCAGGACATGTAGCCCGGGCATCTGAATCGAACATGATAAAGAAGATTCTGTCAGCGCAACCTGTGGGAATAAGAAGACGGGGTAGACCAAAGCTGAGGTGCATGGATGGGGTAACACATGATGCGGAGAAAATTGGAGTCGGTAACTGGAAATTGCAAGCAAGGAACAGAACAGAATGGTGTAGAAAGCTTAAGAAGGTCGATGATGATCTGAACTAAAGTAGACATCCAAAATTGACTAGGTCAAACAGCCAGCAATAATATATTCTTAGAATCTCTACGAGAGACGAGGTATAGCATTAATAATTACTACTACTACTACTACTTCTACTACATAGCTTGGAACAATGAATAATTCCTAGAAACGTCGTTTAAAGAAATCATAAATTATAATAACTACGCTGTTATTATTATATTATTATTAAAATAACTAAGGTAATATCTTTAACACTGGTTGAGAAAATAAATTATATTTTCTATACTTATATCTATATTAGAAAAACAGTAAATTTAATTTAACACTTGCCGTCTGTTCATTCAATCATAAATAAGCTTATATGATGCAGTAATTAAAAATAAATTTTACGAAACCATCGACGAATCCAACATCATCAGCAAAAGTTGTCTACAAAGTACAAACATAGGGCGAACATTCACAAATGCTTAAAACCGATCATCATCATTATTGTCTACCAGAATCCGTTTACTGCTAAACATAGGTCTCCCTCAGCTGTCTGTTCTCAGCTTTTTTTCTGTCCCTGTCTTGTTCTCCTTGTATCCAGTTAATGGTAACACGTTTCAGGTCGTCAGTCCATCTAGTTAGTGGGCGTTCTCTGCTCTGTATTGGTTATTGTCCTGTCCAATTTCCTTTTATCCTTTTAGCGACTGTCTGTTATTTTTGTTCTACGACATATTTCTTAGTTTGGGATTCGGTTTCTCAAAGAGATATCTAACATCTGGCGCTCATAGCTCTTTGAGCCACTACGTTTTTTGTAAGTGTTAATTTTTTCGCTCTATAAGTGATTACGGGCAACACACTTTGGTCAAAGATTTTTTTTTTTGGGGGGCATATGGGTAGATCCGATTTAAATTCTTCTTAGGGTACCTGTCCGTTCTGAACGTTGGCGATCATTCTGGCTATGATAACTTCGTTGGTTGCTATACGAAATAGCTGTGTTGAGGTCTTTCTATACTATGCTCTGAAGTTAGCAATCCAGGATATTCTTCTTCTTCCTGGGGCCCTTTTTGCTCTAATTTTACCTTGAAAAAATGCATTGAAGTAGCTCGTATCTGCCTTGATTTCTCATTATCTGTCCCATGTACTGGAGACTTAAGGCTCTTTACGATGTTGACCAAATCCGCAGTTGTGTTTATCCTCCGCGGTACTTCTTCATTGCTGACTTTGTCTGTTCATGGCATCTTAAGGATTCTTCTATATGACCATAGCTCAAAAATCTGAAGTTTTGATAAAGTTTCCGCCTTCAATGTCTACGTTTCTACTCCGTACAGTAGCGCTGAGTACAGATAACATTTATGGACCATTTTTTTTTTGTTTCTATCGTGAGATCATACCTCTTGAACACAGAACTCCTAGTCAGGAATGCACTTTTTGCCTTTTTGATGCGACATTTGATTTCTTGGGTATTGTACCACGACTCATTGATTATAGTTCCCAAATAGTTGTATTGTGAGACACGTTCAATACTCATTTGGTTCATATACAGACTTGCTCCAGTTATGTTTTCCTTGCTGATAGTCATTAGCTTGGTTTTGCTGGAGTTTATATCCAGTCCATATTTTTTACTTGTTTCGGTAACTTTGTTCATTAAGTTGTGCAGCTTTTCTATAGTATTAAAAAACACTATTGCATCATCTGCATACCGCAGGTTATTGAGCTTGACTCCATTTATTGAGATGCCTTCATCAATATCTTTTAGAGCCTCTTCAAAAATATACTCCTAGCACAGATTGAATATCAGTGGTGAAATTATGCACCCCTGCCTCAGTCCCCTTAAGATTTTGACCTGTATATTCTCCATCTATTAGGAGTACCGCTGACTGATTCCAATACAGGTTAGCTATTATTTTTAAGTATTTTTTGTCAATCCCTGTCCTCTTTAGCACTTTTAT